GCCCGGCTCTTAAACAGAGACGAAGAGTCAGGGGAGGAGCAGAGCCTCCGGCCGCGGTGGCTCTGCTCCTCCCCGACTCTTCGGCTCTGTTTAAGAGCCGGGCTGCCCAAGCGCTACCTGCTTCGGCCAGCCCCCGTGCCTCCGGACCCTGCGCCGCCGGAGCCCGGGAGGGGAAGTGCCCGGCCGGCGGCTGGGGTCCGGAGGCAAGGGGGCTGCCTGAAGCCCATAGCGCTCGGTCAGCTCGCCTCTTAAACAGAGCCGAAGAGTCAGGGGAGGAGCAGAGCCGCCATTTTCCCGGACATGTTCGGCTTTTTGGCAATTCCCCCCGGACGGGGGTTTGACTGCCGAAAAGCCGGACATGTCCGGGAAAAAGAGGACGTATGGTAACCCTAATACTGGGGCAATGAAAGAGGAAGACTTGTATCTAAACCAGAACACCAGTAAATCCTGAATGCAGAGCAGTACAACAGAGTGTGCAATATATATATGGACACACACATACACATGTGCGCGCGCGCACACTCTACACTCAGAGTGTGTGTGTGTGTGTGTGTGTACACATTCTGACTGATCATTTAGTACAGCTGGAGAGCCAGCAGCATCTGCTATACTTAAAGGAACAATTTAAGTCACATTTCTGTCTGGTTTGTTTAAAAAATACCTAGAGTTACTTTACATCAAAGTTCACTGTAACTGAAACATTAGAGAAGAAAATAATTTTTTCTCTCTCCATTTTTTCAGTTTAATTTATGTATTTCACAGCCCTTCTGTGCTAGCCATACTCCCACTGACGGCAGTGGCAAAACTCAGTTCCCTCAGTAGGAGCAGGGGAAGGCCAATAAATAGTTGTATGAAGTTGATTGGAGTCACTGAGCCTTGGTTGACACTGGCCAGGTTCAGGAGGCCTCAGGCTAAAAACAGCACAGAATCAAGACTTGATCCACTGACAGAGCTAATGGAGCTTGTTATCTCAACAAGCTCTAGACCATTTGGGCAGCACCCTTAGGCTTGGTCTACACTAAACCCCCAAATCGAACTAATTTACGCAACTTCAGCTACGTGAATAACGTAGCTGAAGTTG